TTTCTCGATCGTAGGAGCACAGTTGCTTGCATTGGAAAGCCCTATCTAGAAGTTACACCTTTCAAACACCTGCGTGAAAGCCCCATGCATGGCGCATTGCATATGTGATGCCATATGGCGCCCTATGGCTATCACCTGATATGCTTGACGAAAACATGTGTTTCAGAAGCCATACCAAAGTCTTCCGAGCAAACTGGAGCGTTTCCTGCGCCTCGAGGGGTTGATTTTTCGTGTCGGTGGGGGGGGGGGTGATTACAATGTGATCACAACGGGGAATTTTTCGAATAGTAGGTCTAGAAGGAAATTAAAACCTTGCTGGAAAGTAGAAATCTTCAAGCTTCCGGCACAGTTCTTTTTTTACGAAAGTCGTGTATGAAGCCTGCCATAGACGTCCAAAGCGTAGCGACTCGCGGTTGAAAAATGATCACAGATGATCACCAAAGATGATCACAACGGGGAAAATCTCTGGAGACCGGAACGTTTTTAAAATCAATACAGGTGATAAGAGCCAACCTAGCTTTACTCATTACCAGCTTACCCCTCTCGATAGCTGCACTTTCAACGAAGTTATGGGTGTTCAAATGAGGGGTACTTTTCCCTGTTTAGCTTGAAATTGGCCCTCCAACGTCGTAAAATAGCGCTCATCAATGCGCTTGTATGAGCGCGCTGACCGCAACAGCCAAAATTCAAAAGTAATCCATAGTTCCGGTTCCCAGCTGAGCGGTGAGTTTTTTCTTATCCATTTGATTGAAATTATTATTGTTTGTTTTTTGTTGAGTCGGTTTGTTTGTGAGTTTGTTTTTGTTTGAGGAAATTGCTTAGGATTCAATTTCCACGTTTCATAGTAGCTTTTGCAATGGATTTCTTCTAGATTTTGCGGATTAGTGGATTGGAATTTACCTCTAGACCAGATGAGGAGGGTTGGTGGCGCAAGTGTCTTGAAGTTTTTGTGAGGAAGGGAAAAAGTTTTCAGCAAATATTTTTTAGTTTTTGGCCTAGGAATGGTTCGATAGTGCCTAGTTCTATTTATTAATTGTCATCTACATCGTCCCTTTTGAGCTTCTTTTCACTTGCACCGATGTATCACCGCTCTCTCCACTTCAACACGGCGCATGCGTTTACGACCCCCCCCTCCATCGCGGGCAAATAAGACCCCCCTGCTTGTGATGATCAAAATATGCGTGCCCTGCATACACTCCAGCCGCGGGGGCACATCATCGGGACGTCAAAGTCTTCAACCGTGTACGACGCTTCGCCCCAACATCCCTAGAGCGGAAAACAGAACTTTTCAGTTTACGGGTTATTAGAAATTCGCGTCGACCAGTCAGGAGGACTAATGTTAGATGTCGAGCCCACGATGTCTGCATGTTTGACTATCTCTCTATTTCTTGATAAAAAGCTGAAACCGTAGAAGAACATTGGACAAGTATATGATCGAGAAGCGATGTCTCTTAGGAAGGCAGCAAAAAGGTTCGAACGACTCGAAGATTTTATTTCGCCTCAAGAAATATCAGAAACAAGCACAACACACGATGCCTTTTTGATTTCGTTTGTGAGCCAAATAGATCAGTTTCTTCATGAAGGTTATATACCGAAAAATGGTTACTTGGTAGATGTCATGCAAGGCTTCCGCTTCCATCAAACATCACCTCCCAACTGATTAGAGAGGCTTCAAAACGGCATAGTGACGGACTCTGTAGGCAGTCGCTCCACAAGCGTGCGCCCTATACGATGCACATTGACAAGGTCCCAACTCCAACTTCTCAATAGCTTTTACCACTTCAACCTCACTGAAGAGCATCACATTTTGCTCATATGTATCATAAATTCTGAGATTTTTTGCCTTCCTACAGCCAAGATTAAGTGCAAAAAGCTGTTGTCGAAAGTTCTCACTCGCATCGACTTGACACCCCATTTATTAGATTGGAAAGAAAGTCCTGCGGCACTTTGACCAAATTTTCCTTCACTGTAAGGCACCTACAATTTACATGGTAATCACCACTAATGACTAGGACTAGTGCCCACCTATTGTATGGCTTGTCATTTCCACTCTTACAAAACTGCGGCAACCACGATGAAAAGAAGAGGTGGACTTCATTTTCGATTAGACGTCAACCCGGAGTTTTTGCTTTCTAAAGGATGCGGTAGGGATCAAAGGAGGTGGCAATCAGAGGCTGCTAGCTTTGGTAAATTAGCTGGGTACGGTCACATTCCCATCGAGATCCATGGTCTTTTGGAGTAGTCTGATCCTCCATGCAACCTTCGCATTGCCGAGTAGTAGAAAAAAAGTTAGTGTTTCTGAATGAATTAGAGCGAGACGTCATCCACGTTTCTAAGCTGATTGGACTGGACTGTGGTCCTTGCAGCTGTGCCAGTTAGCGCAGTGAAACTTTATTTCATGCGCATCTGCTTTTGGCTAAGCATGCTACCTGTCTGTAGGAGAGATCCTGTGACGGATTAGTTCATAGTTTTCGCAAGACTCCAACACTTGCTACCCACCACAATTCCTTACAAAAATTCTTCTAGTGTATAGAAGGGAAAAAAATTTCAGCCTTGGCTATCCTGTGCCCTTTGTCATTCTCGTCCAGCTTATGAGGCATCCTTCGCAAAAATTTTCCCTAACCGAGATCGCGGAGGAGCATGGGAGTCGTCCGTTAGGCATTGTTCACAGTCGCCAGGTCCTGACGAAACGGCGGTTGGGAGAAAAGCAAAAAATAGTCATCGATCGGAGAATCGCCCAACCGTCCAACCGCCCAACCGCCGCGGTTGGGCGGTTGGGCGAAAAGCAGTAGATGTGTATCGATTTCGCTGGCGAAAAACGCCACCACAATGGAGCTAGCGTTTTGTCGAAGGCGAAAAACGTCGCGGTTTGGCGAAACGCCCGTCGATACGTACCAAAACCCTTTCGCCCAACCGCCAGGCTCTTCGCCCAACCGCCAGTCGATATGTACCGAAAGCTTTTCGCCGAACCGCTGCGTTTCAGAGAAACGCTGGACCGCGAGTGTGAACAATGCCTTAGGTGGAGCCTAGAGAGTTTGCCAACCGACTGGTTACGTTCGGGTGCGCCTCCAGGAACTTGCGTAAACGGCCGTCATTCTGCGCTGGTGACCGACCTGTACCTTGCCTACCTCTGAATTAAATAAGTCCAGCTTGGAAGCGCTGATGCAAAAGCTGCACTTTGCCATGGCAGGCGACATACTTCCTGAAGACAATGCAGGTGGAAGCTCTTTCGACTGCGCCGTGGTCCTACAGGGACTCACAAATGGGATAAGCAAAAGCTTCCACAAAATCATGATATACCCTGTCTGCAAAAACCTCCTCTTCACCGCTAAGTGACGCAAACAATTGGAATTTTTTTGGTCTCTTTCTAGAACAATTGCATCAAAGCGTCGTAGGGTTCGTTCCAAACCTAATATTTACAACGTCTGAGAATGGGTAGAGAACCAGGTGCTAACGTAGTTGCGAGGGGGCACCGGGCTCTTCGGCCAGTGATGACTCATCATCGATAGCAGCGTTGACATCTAATCTAGCAGCAAAATTAGAGTAAAACAAACAAGACTCACCGGAAACTTGCTGAGAAATCCCACAGAAACTGAAAACAACATTGTATGGTCTTTTGTAGTCAAGAACGCGGTCTACAACAAAAAAGCAACAAGTTTAGGCAAAATTTTCCTGTCCACAACTGTTTTTTCGCATTCTTCAGAGTTAACTGTTTTATCTTTTGAATATGGCTAGGACAATCTTATATCTATGTCCTAAACATGAAAAGAAGAGTCGATGGGTCATCACTGGCCGAGAACCGCGTGGCCCCCTCCAACTACGTTAGCACCCAAACTTTCACGTCTTTACTTATGGATCAAACCAAAATTATGTATTACACAACCATAGTATGTCTTGGGTTCGACAATGTGAGTATAAGGCCGTGTTCCTAAACAGTGACTTTGAGAATCAGCAAACCCGCAGAGTTGGTAGAAAATTAACGCATAGGTGTTGTTTTTACTTTCATTCTTTCTGAATACATAAACACTGAAGCTAAAAGCAACTTTCGAATAGCCTTATCCGATGATTTCCCCCATTTTTCTGGCTCCTTATCTCTCCCTTCTTCGCGATTCGTCATATTCTTCGGAACGGTAGGTGTATCTTCCTGTTCAACGGGCCTAACGACTTGGTGAAGTTCTTGCATATAAACGGAGCTAACCAAGGAATAGAAGGAAGCGTAAATTACGGTAGTTGCCTTTGGAACGCAATTGCACCCAACTACCAGAGGTTTTTTACGTCGCTCTTCGACGTGCCACACTACGCTGGCGAACTCGTCCATCGGGAGGCGACGTCGCGACACATCAATGCGTGCCATGAAAGGCGTTTGATTCGCGCAGAATGCAACCGTCCCAGGAATTGTGATTGACCTTTTGGAGAGATGTGGGTGAAGTGAGATGGATGATAAAGAGATGAGTCGCGAGGGTAGTGGTCCCATGTGCGCTGCCCAGTGGGAGGGTAGTTGCGTGCACATGCACGCTGTATGCGCCAGCGGTGCACGTGACGTAGGAGGCGAGAGAAGAGTGCGTGAGAACACGATTGCCTCTCGAATTGGGCCGATTTGGCACCTTTATCCCTCCAACTGAGCCTTCGCATGCACCCTTATTAATTTTGTGGAAGCGCGTGACTCACTCACATTGCTGGTGCACTTTCATCCTCAGTCTTCGTTATTCATCGTAATTCCCAGCATCACTTTTACAAATATTAGAGCTCTTCATATTACCGTAGTTATTCGAAGGAACTCGAAGGACTTGAAACAAACTGAAAAGCGCGGGAGCTGTTGGTTATTTTTTTAGTTTCTGCACCGCTGAATAATTTTGTGGTGCTTCTGTGTTGTGAAACATTCACATCGTTAACTATTTCAGTTCATCTCTTTCTTTGTGCTGTTTCAATTTGCCTTATAAACTTGGACGTTTTTAACACTGACAGTTTCACTTTCCAGATTTCCCCACAGATTAAATGTCATGCAAGCGGTGATTGCCCTTTGTCATTTCTGCGAAAATCACGGTCCTCGAGTGATGATGATCACTCAGCCGATGCGCAGCGTACCGTCGGCTTCTTCTAGTTCAATGTCTTTGTCGAACGCTGCTTGTCAGGTTGGTTCTGTGATTGGTTTATTTATTTGTTTGTTTATCTGACTACATACACACTCCATATCCCTGAGACGGAAGAAGCGTTTGACCATGGCATGGAACGAGTTTCTCGTGGGGTAGGTCAACTTGGGACGACCGTTATCTTGTTCACTGTTGGACAAAGACATGACCAAAATTATGTCAGAATGAAAATATCTCACCAGAAGCACAGCCACCACCGCGTTTAGTGAAGTACGCAGTCACACCTACGCCATCTCAGGGATTTCGTGGTTATGTCATGCACGCGTATGCGTGCTGCAATGTAGGGGGCTGCAAGGGTTACAAAATGCGGCAACTGAAGTTATACGAGAAGATAAACAAAAATCATGCGAACCAGCAATTACTAGTGGGGAAACTCACCAGATTTCAATTTGTAGCAATCCTGATTGCCGCCTTTATGCATAGGTCATCTTTTTCTTTCTCTTCCTTCTTTTTTGTCTTTAGATTCAGCAATTCAGCGCTTTAGGATATATTTCCTTTCACGCATTTAACAGCTTTCCTATCTGCTCTGGCACCATCCGGCGACGGGGGGCGTCTCCCGAATCCCGTTTCAGGGCCTTTGTCAACCGGGAAGTCTCTCTTCTCTTTCCTTTTTTCTTCCCCCTTCCTTCTTTTCCTTCCTTCCTTCTCTGGCCCTCCTCCTTTCCCTTCTCCCTTCAGCTACTGGTTTGGTAGACGCCTCGATAAAATACCCCTGGACCCTCGCAGCGAGTGGTCGTCTGGTTGACATGTGCCCCGTAACCGACGGGGGAAGGGGGCATTTCGCACTTTGGCTGCTTTCCATTGAGCTGACAATAGTTTCTACGATCCTTGACTATGACCGCTTCCTAGATCCACAAGCTTTCACAATCCGTTTCTAGATGGCTCGACATGACGACAGGAAGCAGCAAAAGTGTCCCCCCCCCTGTGTCGAAGTGCGCCTCTGCCCCAATGTTCACCTTCGAGATAGAGTTCTGACAAGTTTGTTGGAAATGCAAGTTTGGTTTGTTTGGGGCTCTGTTCCTAGTTCTCGCATTCACGGGGGTTCGAGAGCAGGGAAACCAGCAAAAGAAAATGGTTTCCGATGCTTCACGTCACAATCCATTATAACAAAATAAGAGTATGGAAAAAAAACTGTGCTCGTATTTTTCTCTTTAAACAAGCACAGCAAAGGTTCCCGAATTCAGATTACAGCTATGGAAGCCATTGTTGTTACCTGAATCTTTCAAAGGAGTTGCAAGCGGTCAAATTTGTCGTGTCTCTAGTGCTTGTCCCTTCTGTTGCGTGAGCATCGTTTTTTTAGACCGCTCGGATAAAATTCTCGTGTCTAGGGGAGGGGATCATTACTAAGGGAGACGAAGTTATAGCTTAATTGAGATGCTGAGTTTTGTTTACATGTCACGAGAACGCAATCATGGCAAAATTCCACCGCAATAACTTGCTTGCGAGATGCAAGTAGCAATTTCAGTTCCCGGATTTGTAATCAGCATTTATACCCTTCTGAGTCACTTAGATCTTGATATGAAGAATACATAATTTGAGCCATTTCCTGAGCAGGGCAAAAAGCAGGTTAAGACTGATTGCCGCTTGTTCCTAATCTTATTGCTTTCAATTTGTAACAGATGTGCAGTTATGGTAGGAACTGTTTGGTTTAGATCTCATCAGTAGCTGAGAGCGAACATGACGGTCCTCTTTATTATGGCGACTGTACCCCGGAGATTCTGGAAGATCCTGAAGAAAGGTGAGACTTCTTCTTTCTTGTGTTCGTTCACTTTCACTGTGTCCTTGTGTTAATTACAAGCTGTCCATTTTTGGCTTTATTTTCTTATGATGATGGTTGAAATTAAATAATATTCAGGTGTAACGCATGTACATCTTTTGGAAATATAAATCAACCATGCTTGCTTTCAAATGACCATGAAAATAAGACGAGTTACATCAGCACACAGGTGAGCCTAACTGTTATAACTTCCACTGTTCTTTCGGTACAGCTTGTGCTTTAAATTCGTCAATTTGATCAGCCGTTCTATTTTTACTTTATTGGTAGAATCTTGTTTTATTCTTCCAATTTGACTTGTTTTCATTCAAGAATGGAACGAGAAAAGGGTTCCTTTAAATTTTTTTATTGAAAAAAATTGAAAATTGAAGCTGACAGTGCAAGAATCAGCGTTACGGAGATTCACTGCTCGCCTTGGAATTTTTTCATGAATTGCGCACTTTTCTTAATTGATTTCATCATACTTCTTCGCTGGGTTCACATCTTTCCTGTGAAAGTCGTGGACCTACCAATAGGAAAAGAAGCACTGTTCCACTGCTACGACTCAAAAAAAAATCCAGACTCTTTCTTGAGATCTCATTCAGTACATTGACCACAAATATGTCATTCATTTTTGGTGCCGGAGCTAATGGAGGGGGCATCACTTTTCATTTCAGGCCCAGCCTTAGCAGAGCATTAAATTGCGTGTGTCGCAAAATATCGGCATCACTTGGCGCGAAATAGTGCCAGCGACAACAACGAATATAATAGTCGTGATCAGGATGACAAATAACCCCCGTGCGCAAGTTTTCATCGATTGTAGTGAGAAATATGGTGGCGCCAAGCTGGCGCCACCATATTTCTCACTACAGTCGATGCCGCGCGAGGCGTCAGTGCCGAAAATGAATGCCATATTCGTGGTCAGAGCAAAGAATAACGTTTATAGGCAGAAAACAGCAAACAAAGTTACTTTTCTGAGGGGTTGTGATAGTGTAATAGTGCGAGAAAGCTTATACTTATCGCTCTCTATAGGAGGACATTCTCATGGACGACTTTTTCTCTGTGTATAATTTTCATCGAAAACTGAAAAATCATGAATTCTGATTACTTCATAGTAACTCCACGGTTTTCGCCATATTTCACGGTGCAATCCCATTCATTTCAGATACCATTAAAAGAACGAGTTTATGAGCGAGTTCGAAATGCTTGCTTGCGCTCACTGAGTTGTGAAATTTCGGCGCCGTGTAAAGGAACAGCTTCTCCTTTGCGACAAGTTCACGCAGTTACTTCTGGTGAGTAACATTCAAAACGCTTTTGTTATCCGTGAGAACATAGCATCCACTGAAGCATTTGGTCATTGCTATTTTCTTTTCCTGTGACTAGTGAATGAAATGTACACCTTCTGGTACGACTTTGAAACTGTGATTGCGTATCCATGCTCGTCCCTTAGGGAAAAATTGCAAAAGAAACACTGCGAGCAATTTTTTTTGAAGCACCACGGTCACATTTCGCGTGTGTTTCTGTCGCGAGCGTCTCATAATGCGTTTACCATCAAACCATTGAGGTTGATCTCCTAAGGATTCCAATTCCTAACAGAATCCACCCGATAAAATGTTCTTAGCAATACTTAAACATGCCCACTTTGTTTTACTTCTTTTACTAGCCTCGCTAGACACCTTATATTTGTCAAATTGTATGTTTATCAAAACACGCACTACAGAGCGTCGCTAACGATACGCATTTGAGATCCTTTCTCAGGAGCTGAAATTGCTGTTATCATTAGAGATGCAAGCCAAGCGGAGATTTTTATTCTATTCGGCACAGAAAATTGTAGGTGTTGGGTGTTGGAAACTGGAGTCCTTCTTAATAAAAGATAAGTATAGTAAAAAAAATTTACGATCGCAACGATTCAAGACGAAAATGTTTTTTTTTTGTAGAACTCTCTGGGAGAAGACCAATGATTCTGACCAAACGCATGCGGAACTCATGTCTATAACCAACGCTACTTGGCTCTTGGCGCCTGCAGGTTTCCTCACCAATTTCCTTGAAAGCTTGCATGGGGTAGATATTCAGTGGCTTGATGGGAACGTGATACTACTTTCTGACAGCAGCGGTATATTGTCAAAGACTTGGAACCCTGAATGCAATTCTTTATGAGTTTGGTCAGCCACTCTTGGAACAGTAAGAAAAATCCATCAGAAGTGTTAAAGACTCAACCTTTACTATATCCCTCAACGTGTGACAGTCATAGAAGTCGTCCTCGGTCCCCTAAGCAGTCCCTGTTTTGGCATCTTCACAGGAAGTAACGAAGGCGCTGTGGCCCTCACAAGTGGCAGTTAGGACACCTCCCTAGTGGCCTAGCTTACTTAAAGGCCACATTCCGCGAAAAAATAAGGTTATGGCCTCTCAAGTGTGTCGGACGATCCGGAAGGCGATTTTTGAGGCTGCGCTACTTTCAAAATGTGAAAAACGGCAGAACTCCGCTAGAAGCTGACTAATTAGGCCATGGGACACCCTTTAGGCCCATGCCGACCCTCACGGCCTTGGTGCTACTAGCTAGTAGCCACTATGTTATTTTTCTCTATAACATTTCGGACTGCTTTTACTGCTGCTTTTCTCCGCTAATCAGATACTTAGCACTCTTTGTGCCTATTTGAGTTCCGTTTCCCGCAATTTGCGGTCGCGAACTGTGCCTTTAAATTCAAAGACTACTTTCTGCCACGAGTCCAGTTTTGACAACGTGTTTTTTGTTCCTTTTCAATATTATATGGTATTAGTTAGGTGAGGCGAAGACAGGCAGCAGGGTATCCCTTCGCTGGAATAAAAGAGCGGGTCCAGAGAAGTCTTCGTCGTTATTTAAGATCATCTCCATGACCTTTTTGAATTTTCCTTCCGTGGAGAGTCACTTGACGACTTAGGTTCCTCATTGAACGCTACGCTACTACCAATAATGCGCTCGTGCGCTTTGTCTCTCAACCTGTGAATGCCCGAGATTCATAGGTTGAGAGACACCTTGATTTTCGGTTATATCCTTGAGTGTGTGAGTAATGTTCCCAAACAACTAAATTTCCGATGTAACAATACATTTGTAAAACATCACCGCTCGAAGTCGCAGAGGACTGTATTCGTCCCATTTCAAATGACAAACGGTCATATTCGGCCGGACTGTCCCACTTTGGCGACTCCACAGCGATCGAGGAGGGTGCTACAGCCGCAGAAAATTGTAATTCTAACCTCCACTCAGTTGGACCACCCACTTGCTAGGTGTCTTCTCCACATCTAACGCAGGTTCGCCATCGCCTCTATATGTGAGCTATCCTTGCGAGGGAATTCTTCGTTCAGAAGTCGATCGAAGTATTCTGTCTGGCGATGAAGATGGCATCGGTGGTGGACCTCTCGGGCAAAGCCAAACTGTTTCTGCGAGATAGGGACAAGTTCCCTCAGCCTAGTGTTGACCAGGCGCTCGTACAGCTTCATGGTATGGACAGTCAACTTGATCCTGCGGTAGTTGGAGCACTTCGTCGCGTCCCCTTTCTGTTTGAAGATGGGAACGATTGTGCTGCTCCTCCACGCATTTCGGCATCCTTCCTTCAGCTGTTACGTTGCTTAGGAAGTACGCGAGCCAACTCACCCCATGCTCTCCAAGGGCCCTTCATGCCTCTATCGGTACCCCGTCTCGACCCACTGCTTTCCCAACTTTCATTCTCCCTAGGGCCATCGCCCTGATAGCGGACAGCAAGGAGGAACTCTAGGACAAGGTACAGCGGTGGCAGGATGTGCTCGCTAAGAATGGACCCCGGCTGAACGTAAAGAAGACCAAGTTCCTAAGCTCCGAAGAGTGCGCCGAACTCATCGTAGACCGCTATGGCGAGAGCATCGAAAGGGTCGAGGATTTCCAGTACCTGGGGAGCAAGCTAGCAGCTGATGGCAGCGTGGACCAAGCGGTGACGGCCCGAATTAACGCATCCTAGATGAAATGGAGGGAGTCCACTGGCATCCGTGCGACCGGCGGTGCTCGAGAACGCTCAAGGGCAAGGTGTACCGGGCGGTGGTAAGGCCTACAATGCTCTACGGCGGTGAGTGCTAGCCTATCTGCAAGAACCATGAAAGGCAGCTCCACTCAGCTGAAATGAGGATGCTGAGGTGGGCATGCGGCTGGACACGACTCGACAGAGTCAGAAACGAGGACGTCAGAGCGGTCACACAGACGGCTCCGATCCAGCTGAAGGCACGAGAGCAGCGACTGCGATGGTACGGTCATGTACCGAGAGGCCTGAAGACCACCCCATAAGGAAGGCATTGGAACTCGAGGTAGAGGGCAGGCAACCACGAGGAGCCCCAAAGAAAAGATGGAGGGACGTCATCAAGAGGAACCTCACTGAAGTGAAAGCCACAGCAGAAGATGCAGTGGATCAGAAAAATTGGTGACGTGTAGTAACAACAGCGGACACTGCGACGGCGCGGGACTAACGCTAGGGAGAAGAAGAAGTTCTGCGTTCCGGCGAGGTTTTACGTGTTTGAAGAGCTACACGCATTTGCATTGGGCAAGGCAGTGTGAACACTTATATCGGATACATCAACAAGTTCGGAGGAAGCATTGATATGCATAGGATCGCTATGAGATACAACTGATTTGGACGAGTTGTCGTGCCGGGTGCGCCTTTCCGCACTCGCTCTCCTCCCTAGTTAAATAGGGCCTAATAAAAATTTTCGGAGTTGAGAAGTGCCCAAGGCGTGGCGCGCGACGCAAAATCTGGTTAGCAAAGAAAACAGCAGGTGGAACTTTTATAAGCCTAATAACGGACACGTTAGGACGCGCCATGCGATAAACCGATAACGGAGATCACTCGACGTCAAGAAAGTTGAAAATGCGCTTTAGAAAGTTTATCTCGCCCACTAACCGATCACTGGGTAAACTGGCAGAACATTCAGGAACGCCTATTAAGACAATGGAGCGTTTCCGCTCTACTTCTTCACAAGGAATAGAAGAATAGTTCAAAGATTGAATGGTTTGCTGCTAGAGATTATTAGACCGGTGAGATACAGGATTAGGATTAGACCGGTGAGATACAGGATTAGTAGTAGATTTAGACATTGCAGCCCTCAATTCGGTATTCTGAGCTCTTAACAATGAAACTTCTTCTACAAGTTCCCTATTGCGACAAAGAACTGAGTTGAGCAACTTGCGATCTTCCAGGAGGGTGGCGAGCACCGAGCGCAGATGTTGTGGTAGGTTTGATCTTCCAGCAACAGGGTCACGTCACGATCGAAATCTGCAGGGGGTGTTGTAGGTGAAGAAGCAGTCCATGAGCGTTTAACTGGTCGGTCCTGAATACGACGGGCAGACAAGGGTGTGTCCATTGTAGTACAGAGGAAGGATCAAAGAAAGAAGATAAAACGTAAATTGAGAAAATACACCTTAGCTGGTGGCGGTTTCCTCTAGGATCGCACCCCGCCACCGTGATGCTCACAGCCCAACAACGAAGTCGACGATTTCGACCGAGAATACAGAAAAAAACGGCGTTGAAATAGCAAGCGCCAGCAGCAGTTGAACTAACAGTACGGACTGCACACTGGTAGGAATAATAGATGAGGAGAAAATAGTAGAAAAAATATAAGACGGACGACCGGGTCAGAAATCAATGCACGAGCGACCGGCCACCGCCACTGCACAGGCGCGAATCGAACCGCGGTTTTGTTTGAGTGTTCTTGAAGATTCTTCTTGCTTTTTTTTTCTTCTTTGGAAAATTACTTATTAGCTACAGGTTCACAATTGAGCAGCAACTTAATAAGCAACTGGCACTTAATCGCGGGAACTGTCTTCAAATGATAAGAACAGTAGAGACCCTTTTTGATACGTATGGCCAATAGCTACGTCTTCTAGGAAGGCACCAAACGTTCAAAGCAGTCCAAAGATTTCAATTCCGATATCACATGCAAGCATCGCACCTGATTCCCTATTGACTCTGATAATGAAGGAGGTTACTGAATCGGCTAGTCCATGGAGATTTGTGCCAGCGAATGAGATGGTGGAGGTCATTGAACGCACCCGTACTTTCAGTGAGCATCATCTTCAGTTTATTGGAGATGTTTGAAACTTGGTGGATGAGTTCGGCAGACAATCGCTCCCCAAGAGTGCGCCCAAGCGATCTATATTTACAACGTTACAGGGCTTCTATCAAACGGCTGTTCTCTCGCTGCGAGGGTCCACAGGCGTTTTCCCACCGCATCTTTTGACCGCGAATCTGAAAGGGGGAAGTAAGGGATAGTGCGAGAGAAAGATAGAAATAAATGAAGTGAATAGGAAGAAAAAGAAGGAGGAGGGGCTCTGTGGGTGACGGATAACCTGAGACCATATTTACAACGTGTTAAAATCCATCTGTGAATCGCTTCAACCAATCAAGTCGCCCTAGAAGGCATCGACCATTGGTCGTTCACATCTCAGGTCTCAAGATGCTTCTGAGATTTGAGAGCCAAGATTAAGTGCAAAAAAAGCGTCAAAAACTCATATTTGTTGACATTCCGTTTTGATAAGCTAAAAATCGGCAAAAAGAAGCAGTGAAAAGCCAGCCACAATTTTTTGTAGGGCAGATATTCATCTGTCAGAAATCGCATGGGGAACCCTCTCACTTATGTAAAGATTTATGTAACGAAAAAACGCCGTTATTTATGGGCCAACTGATACTATCCTTTCCTACACAGTTCACTTCCTTCGTTAGTTAGTCATATCTTTGAAGATATAATAGCGATGGTTCAGCAGTACGTGTGAATCCAATGCGATTAGACGGCCTAGCAGCTGATGACTCGGAGGAAAGTGGGAGGAATGATGTTGACGGGTCTGTGTTCTTCGGTGATGCCGACAATGGCTACTGTTTTTCTCTCACGTTTAGGTAATGCCGTGTTCGATTTGTTCTCATATAATATTTGATTCTGGCACGGTTAGTGTACATTTTCAGATTGCGAGATTCCAAAGCTCGGGGCTTCCTCCGATTATATTCTTTTATTGTCGTTAGCAATGACATGACATACATTATTCAAAATCATGAATTTTTCCTGCAAGCGCTCACAGCAATGAAGGAAAAGTTACAGGTACGTTGATGCACTGACCGTTATGTGTTGCGATAATATTTTATTTGCTTCATTGTTTGTTAATATAAAAGACCCGCACCTCATGCTTTCCGAAAAGAGCGGCTCTGGTGGCGTAACTGGGAGGCTCTCGCTCAGAGCGCGTGAGATGAGGGTTCGTGTCCCACATGGGGTCGAGGCTTGTGTCCAACTAAGACTAACTCAGCCTTCTTGTGATTACTTTCGGAGCGCGAACTGCAGCGTCAAACAGCAGTTATCGCGATGAAAGTGTAAAGTTTTTTGAGGAACTAGTGCTGCATTCAAGAATCTAAAAATCGTTATCTCTGCTTCACCTTCAACTATTTTTAATGTTTGTTAAGATATCATGTGACATTTCGATCAGCAACGCAGAATGTGTGACCGTTTTCTGTATTAATTCGGTTTAATTAGCGCACATTTAAGATTGCAATTCTTACAGCATTAGTCGAAGTGTGACCGCTGTTGCACTTTGTTGACTTTCTTCTACATACGTGAAGGCGCTAAAGACACTCTCATTTTCTTACATTCACGGACACATTCACGTACATCTCCTTGCTGCACTTTGGTGTGCACGATTTCCTCCTTTTCAAGGTTGTATGTTTGACGGACAACTCAACAATTTCATGGTTCATTTTTTGAACTCTTATCAGTCTTATGAATCACTCGTTTCTTCTCTCATTTCATTTTCATATTCATCAGCTGATTAGCTGACATTTGCATTTGAAGATTGTATTCGAAAAGAAACCTCTCTTTGCTGAACTAATCACTATTCGTTCATTTATTTATTTGACAGTCCGTTAAGGGCAGCCTGTGCTTGCAAAAGTTTGACAACTTCTTGTGATGTTAAGGTTTTCTGGTTCCCAAGTTCTCTGCTTATCGTTCGTCTTCTCTCTTCTACTTTCAAACCACAACCAGTCTCCTTGCTCGCCCTTGCCTTCAATCTAGAATCGCCCTTTTCCTTGTTGCTCATTACTTCTCTAACTTTATTCAGTATGCCCCACAGATCTCAGATCTCCTCCAGGGTTACTGCTGTCACGCTCTTACTATGTGTTTAATTTTTCGAGGAAGGCATGTTTGGTAGGCCTTGTCTGCCTGCCGTTCATTTTGTTGAACACGATCTGAATGTCGTTCTTGCTTCCTTGACAATACTTGATCTGGTTTCCAGGTTAGTTATTTAATTCCGCCATTTTCTTGTCGTGAAGTTCCTTGATCTGTTTCTCGAAATCGCGAAGATTAGACAAAGGTTCGATACTACGGTTACAGGGCTTTTGTCAATCGAACATTTGCTGCGAAGGTCCCAGAGGTATTTACGTATCGCCTATGTTGGTCGAGCATTGCAGGGTGAAGGATAGCGAAGTGGGAAGAGAAGAGGAAGGAGAAGGGAGGCTCCGCGGTTTACAAGTATCCTGAGACGAGATATACTACTGCTCATTGTCTGTATAGGGTGCCGCAAAGTTCACGCTGTCGGAAGAAAGTGTAAGTGGGAGAGCGTAAGTGTACGAAGCCGGCCAAGTATCAATTAAAAGCGAGTGTTTCTGGGCTGGACGCGTACCATAATCTTGTGGTTCCATCTTAAACGCGATTTTCATTGGTTGGCTAAGGATAATATCTCACTGTGATTAGCTCGACGGAATCTGCATAGTGAAAGTGAAATTTTGAGTGTATTCCGTGCACGAGACTGATCTTTAAGTGATTATAACGGAGGCGGTAGTATCATCTTCCCCACTGTTGTTGGCAAACTGAAGATGTGTGCAGGGCTACCGATCTATCGGTGGCCCTGCACACACAAAGGTGGCTCTCCTTTCCGCCCAGGCAAGAACACGTGAACCGAGTGAAACGGTGAATGCTTCACGAAGATTGGGATCTAGACTCGTTCTCCTTTACTTGTACTCTTCTAACTTCAACCCATGCTACCATCGCGCGCTTTAGATTGTTCCAGAATTATTTGAGCGACTGTGGACCTCTGTGACGCTTGTGACCTTTGTGACGTCCTATTGGTGAACGGATCCGGTTGCAGCTCCGGGTTTTTTTTTCAGAGAAGAGGCAGCGATTCACTGGTAAACAGGTGGACAGATTCAAAGAGGCACAACAAGCGACTTCATTGTCTCTTTTTGAGCTGTTGTTATATCATGTTTTCGCGAAATAAGCAGTTGAAATTTCTGACATGAGAAGTTGAGAAAATCGCGGAACACCCTAACATTGTAATGCTATATCGCAGGTGGACATTGAACCACCATTTCTTACGTTTCTTATCACACTATCCGTGTACAAACAGTTGCTTCTTTTAGCTAATGAAATGTTGTCCTCTCTCGGTGTTCCAACCCATCTTCGTGGCCCTATCTTTCCAAATCAGTGCTGCTGTATACGTGCCTCTTTCCCTGTCGGCCTGTTGTCAGCAGTTCACTTCGTTGTTTTTTTTGCTTCCCATCCGCACGTAAATTCTCGCCGCTACCGTTCGCTCTCTGAGTTCATTGGTACACGTGCATTAAGTAACCAACTCTTGTCATTTGGAGTTTGGGAAGTCACCTGTATCACCTGTGTACCAACTGTGCTCCCTTGATAATTGAGTAGCTCAAGCTGGCCATTTTCGTCTCCACCGTCCCTGCAACGTGATAAAGTTGCCCAATGGTGCCTCTGTGCTCGAGGGACGCGATGAACTCCATGCCATTCGTTCAGAGCTTTCACCAAGAAGTCTGACCATCACGTAGGGTTGTCCACGCGTTCGCTTGACATCCCGTGGAATCCAGTCGGTGATCGTTCTGGTTCAGCGGTCGTCCTCGAAACGCATGACGTGCCCGGCCCACCTGTTCTTAGGAACCTTGGAAAATGCAGCTGCGGTCCGACATGGGATCTTGGATAGACTGTTCCAGATTACTTCGCTCCTTTACGTGCAGCGGGCTACTCCGAATATCTTTTGATGGCGCGCCAAATGACGCTGAGTTCATGTTCATCCTGCTTTCGACTAAATCTCAGAGGCGCAGGGTAAAGCAGGAAAGACCGCGGGATCGAAGAAGTGGGAACGGAGCCTGGTACTCTTCGTCCTCTTCATGACTTTCGATTGTCCTGAAAGCTCTCCAAGGCGCTCGCTTCCTCCTTCTTAGCTCTGGTGCTAAATCGTTCAACATATTACATTCCGCCCCCAGGTACAGGTTCAGGAAATGAATTAGAATAAAATGAAAATCAAAAATGTCCGCCCGGAGGTTGCTGGTAATTGTAGCGTTTCAAATGCAATAATACAACAACCTGCTGTAGTCAGGAGAATTCCCTGGTCCCTAGTGGTTATAAATGGCCGTGCCTCTAGGCTAAAATGAGTCAGTTGCTCAAACTAGGAACATGGAGACGGATTCTCAAGGCACTTCATCGCACACCCTTCCCGTTCTTTTTGGTGACGTACTTATCGTACAGATATGACCAATGTTGTTTACGATGGTGAGCGTTGGCCTTGTCACTTCCAATTGTCTTCCTACTATTAACAACATCGTTCTTTTTAAGTTTCCGAATCGTTCAACGGTTACGTTGCCTGTCCTCTCTAAGATTTCCTTTCTTTCAACATCTCAATCACAGTCTGGTTCTCCTAGCAAATCTTCTGCCTGACCGCACTATTTGTACTTTACTTTATTGCTTTGTTAATTTCCGTTGCTCTGCAGTAACACTTATATTCCTCATTGCCGTTGAGCGTCCTACCTGAAATATATCCTCACTGTTTCGTTATTGCTTTTCTCTTTGCTCTCTTGCTCTCAACCTGATCAGGAAAGACAAAACAGGAAGACTCTACAAAACACAGATGAATCATCCTGCACAAGTCCATAACTGACTCTACCAGAGCGCCAATGGCTCGAACGTTCTACCGAAACAACACTGTTATCATTGCCGCTTATATGGCATTATCACTTGCTATCGTTACTTTTTCGGTCCGGAACGACTATCATCAGTCCTTGTCATTTTTGAATGTGACCACACATTGCTTTTGTAATGATAAGTTGATAAGACATAAGAAAGACAGGCTTGAGAGCGCGTATTAAACTGCGCTGATAAAATTTACTACTTTAAAATTTTTTGCCATCTTGTTACGTGAAGAGAAACATCAACGTTGAGTTCACGTTCACGTACAATCACGTTTCCGTTGCTAGTCTCGAAGGAACCTGTCTGTTTACGAATGTTTTCAATTTTGCCAGCTATCATTTCCATCTAGCGGCTGTTCTCATCATTTTCTGTTTAAGAGTATGGCCGCTGCTACATTTGAAAGCGAAATGTCTCAAGATGATGCAATGCGACCACAATATGCAAGCATGGCCGGACGACTGCCATCTGGCTGGTTCAGACCTACAGACAAAAGTGTAAGTTCACTGTTGTTCCTATTTCCTGTTAAATAACAAATTGCTTGCTGCTCTCGTAAAGATATTGTTGTTTTATAACGCCTCAAAAGTGATCCTTTTTCTCTCAGAGAAGTACTTTTTCCTCTGAAAATGGTATGAATAGTTGAGGGGTTCCTTAGAAGTGGTCTGCCTTGGTGTTAGCGTCAGAAAGGATAAAAATACTGATTGAACATAGAATGCATCAGTGCAAAAAATCGCTGCCAAGTTTCTGAATATAACTGGAATACCGAAACACGTTCCCGAAAAGTGTTGCAAAAAGTGAATGCTTCATCCTTCTTCATTTCAAAGACGCATGGTTCTATCACACATAGTTTGGGTGTGCGTGTTTATCAGTTACCAGCTGTCGAAGCGTAGCGGTTTCACCGTCCTAACATGCGCAGGAATGGGGACACAGGACCGTGAAACACGCTATTCCCAAATGCTTCTCCCAATTCCTTTTGCGGCGTAGACCCCCGTTCATGCTGACAGCCGTCCACGCTTCGCGTGTCGCGCGCAGCGCTTTTGGCACATTGCCAACTCCTGTAATTGCGCTTTGGAATACAAGTAAAACACAATTTCCTGAGAACATTTGCTCATGCTGTAAAGTCCGAATAGAAGGTGATGAAGATGGCAAAGCTAGAAATGAAGAACAACGAATGTAGATGTAATCAAAACAAAAATGAAAAATCGAGGAAATGCAAATTAATTAAAATTGCGAGTAAATTTCTGCGATTCCGGCTCCAAAGCCATAAAACACTTTAAACTATAATGTAGTTCGCTGCGGATGGTTTGGCGTCCCAGGCGGGATGAGTTTGGCGCGGTGCCGAACTCGTTCTCCACTCGTTGAAGCGAGCAGTGATATGTCTGTATCATATCCTTCGTATTACTCGTTTTCTACCACTTTTTGTCGCATGCGCATAATAAGAAGGCAGAGAACGGCTTTGAAGGGCTGGCACACTCATACTGCCTGACACGCCCAACCGTTCGCAGCGAACTAGAGTATAACTAGTTGGACGCTTGGGCCGTTTTTATTTCCATGCTTTGTGTGGATGTGCGGCCTCCGATATTGCAGAAGCAGCACGGTTGCTCTTGAGTTCTGAC